TCTTTCTTGAGACATTTTGCTTCAGAATTCCGTGACCTGAACTGGGCCACGTGATCTGCATGCCATCATTCCACTCGGTAACATCTCCCACCTGTCTGGAGCTCCTTCAACGATCACCTCGGCTCTGCTGCTTTGTACAGTGGGGCAGTGCACAACTTCCATACTATTTAATGTATACGAATTATACCATAAATTCACTTTAGAGGCTAAAAATAGAAAGGTTGGCAGCACTGTGACTGCATGGGGAAAAGGGAAACCTGTTGGCCATACTGAACTGCATCAAAAACGAGCCAGTCCTTGCCTATGCCGATGTTCATGGAATCACATGGCACCAAGCAACTTGAGAATAAGGAATACATACACCTTGGCAGGGGGTTCGGAAGATGCATTTCCCCAAGTGAAATGCAGTTCCTTTGCCAACAGATGTGCGGCTGTGAGAAAACAAGTGAGGATTGAGTATAACAGTGGAAAAGAAAGGAACGTTTATTGTCCAATAAACTGATTATGTAGTAAGGTCCTAGAGACCCAGATAAATTCCATAGCAATGAATTACAGTGATTCATTGCAGGTGGCAAAGATCCAAACTTTTTCCTCCAGCTGGATTTGATATGGAAGATCTGTAATTAACAACTCTTGTGTTTTTATTTTATACTAATTAGCAGCTCCAAATAGCTACCTTGATGATCAGGAAAGTGGTGCTTAGGTAAAGGATGCTTAAACCCTTTCCCAGTCCAACTCATGCACACTGAAGCTGCTAATAGCTTGGTGGGCAGGGGGCAACATGATGTACCTGTCCTTAAAAAAATACCCGCAGAGATAACAGAAGCAAGAGGGTGGCTATAGGTTGAGGAATGGGCACGGGAACATAGGACTGAGGGAAGTTCCCCACAGTGCTATTTTTCCTATCTCCAAAGCAACCATATAAGCCTGTTGATTAGTGATAGTATTTCAAAAAATACCTAGGTTATCCTAAACATGGAAGCCATACATTAGATGTACTTTGGCTATAAAAAAACCAAAGGATAGAGGATAGAAGGAAGTTAAACATTGCAGCAGCACGGTGGATCACACTGTTCCTTTAATCCTTTTCTTAAAAGACAAGTACCTGACTATCACTTAGAATACCTTTGGCCAACCTTGCACCCTCCAGATATGATGGACTCCAACTCCCATCTTTCCTAGTCAGCATGACCAAGAAGTCTGAAAATGCGTCTCAAGAGTTGGCCCTAAAGTTCTGTGGCTACTTCAGCTGGTTATTTCTATTTACACACCATTGCCTTTCCTGCAAGGAACCCAGGGTGGCTTACATACTCTTCCTCTCTGTTTTATCCTCACAACAACCCTGTCAGGAAAGGCTTTGACTGGCCTGAAGTCAATAAGTCAGTAAGCTTTGTGGCTCTGTGGGAATTAAACCCAGGTGTCCATCACTCTAACCCTATGCCACACTGGTTCTACAGATACTAAATTGTTCTGCCCCATTGAGATGTGTTCAGAAAGGAGTTTTCATTCCCAGTAACTGGCAAAATGTCCTGATGTTTCAGATTCATTGCACAGTGCAGTTTGTTTTTTAAATATGGCTCTAACTGGTGTTGGCCTGGCCAGCGTTTTGAAGTTTCTCTTTTTTTACCAGCAAGGCACACGCCACAGCTATATCCTGCTCCCCCTGCTAGTCTGGTACAGTGGTACCTTGGCTCACAAATGCCTTGGTTCACGACCAAATCGGGTCACGAACAAAAATTTCATGAAAATTTTGACTTGGGTTGTGAACTCCACATTGGGTGGAGACCAAGATTGCAGCCATCTCCCCCCCCCCCGCCCCTACAAAGTGGGGAGATGGCCATGATCGTAGTCACGTTTGTGCAGGGAAGATGCGTGTGATCACGGGCGCGCTCCTGCAGGAAAGACAGGCACATTCTCGGCCATCTCTCCCACACCCCCCTCCAGCAAACAGCACGATCGCGGCCATCTCCCCCCGCCCCGAGTGGGGAGATGGCCACAATCGCAGTTGCATCCGTGCAGGGAACACATGTGTGATCGTGGCTGTGCTGTGCTGCACCCGTCTTCCCCGCAGAAGCGTGCCCGTGATCACGCGCATCTTCCCTGCACAAACATGACTGCAATCGAGGCCATCTCCCCACTTGAGGGGGTGGGGAGATGGCTGTGATCGTGCTGGTTGCGGGGGGGTGGGGGAGAGATGGCCAAGATTGTGCCCATCTTTCCTGCAGAAGCGCACCCGTGCTAGGATTTCTTTGAGAAGCACCACCCCAACATAACTGTAACAAACAGAGTGTTGAATCTGATGAATGATAATGTGGTCTCTCATTTCTGGAAGGTTATGCAGTGCAGGAAAAAACAAGATTTTTCACCAAAATTGACCCTGCAGCTAAGAAACAAAAAAGAGAGGAAACCCCTGAAAGAGATCTCCCCAGTGCCCTTATGGAGGGGGACTCTCCCTCCAAACAATAACTTCCCCCACACCTAGGTTAGTGTTCTCCACTATACTGTACAGTACTTTGCTTTGGGCTGATCAGCATAAGACTGATCAGGGAGCTTATTTCCAATTTGCTACAAATGAGCAATAAACCTTTTAGTCTCCCAGTGGTGGGGCAGAGAAAATGCTCCCTTTCTGTGGATCTTTTTTGACCAACTGGGGACAGGGGCTGGGGAGTGTGTGTGTGTGTGTGGGGGGGGGCATGTCTGTGTCTGAGGGAAGTGCATGCCAGCAGTAGCTCTACCCACACTGGGCTGTCCCCCCCCCCCCTTCCCCCCCCCCCCCCACACACGGTAACAACATGTGGCCCCTGGCATCCCAGGGACAATCCAACCCTCTGCCTGAAAATGATTTTCCCACTCCTTGAGTGGAAACTAAGTCCTACAGATTGCATAGCAAATGTGCTTGGGATTGCACTGCCACCCAGGAAATTCCCTGCTTCAGCCACTACACAGGCAGTCTGAACATTTTTGTTTAGAGAACGAGCTGCCAGAATGGAAACATTTCCAAGGCTTGGATCGATGGAAGCCCCCTATAAAATAGACCGAGGGATGAATGGCTTATCTTAACTCTGACTTCCATGCTGCTGGCCGTTCATTTTAGGAGCCTCTTCAGCCTGCCAGAAGCTTTCAGCAGGGGTGGGACACTGTTTAGTAGCTACACTATGCAAGTATTTAGAGGATTTAATTGGCCCATATAGACAGGGCTTGTTTCAGGGAACAGCTGCCAGGGCAGAGCAGGCCAGGCCTCGCCAGGGGGTCACAGACTCCTGGAGTTGCCAGGAAAAGCAGCAAGCATCCATCCGCTCCCATTCCAGCACGCTGCCCACATCAAGGCGTGCACTCCACCCTGCCCAAGCGGAGACACAAGAGAGCGCTGTTCCAGGCAAGGAAATGCCTGCAAGCTCAGCTGGCCAGTAAACACACGGCTTGCCAGCACATTCCAGCTTTGAGAGCCGTCTTGGCATACCTTGACCTGACCCCAGCAGCACCCAGCAGGGCCGGAGGCTCCTACAACCATGTTTCCCAGGCAGAGCATCCCCCGGGCTCTGGAAGCAAGCTCTTCCTCTGCTTGCTGTCTCTGGCCAGGTAATGGGCCATGCAGCACGTGCAAGATACGCCCCACTGGAGAATCACCCTGCCTCCCCTCCCACCGTCCATCTGCCCCAGCTCTGCTTCAGCTACAGGCCTTGCAGCATCACAAGGCTCCTCCTGTTACCTGGACTGCAACAAGTGCCGCTGCTTTGGCATTTGGACCACAGCTGTTTGTGCTGCTCCCGCCCCGCGATGCCGTGCCGAAGGGAACATGCACGCGTGTGTCTTGAGCTTCATGACAACCAGGTGGTGACAGCAAAGGCTCCTGGCCCAGGCTCAGACAGCCTGCCAGACCGTTGACCCCAAACACAGCTGGGAGTGCCTGACCACAGGAATCTCCGGCAGAGCCCAGCAAGGTGTGCTGTTGCTGTCAGTTTACAAGGAAGTGGCCAATCTGCCTGCTCCTCAGGCGGCTGTAACCAATTTTCATGGAACAGAAAAGACTTTGTGAATGGCTCTTTAGGGAGCATTCCTGGTGGAGTTAGTGCCTTTACAGTAAAATTCAATCTTTCCTGCAAAGTTGGCCAGAGAGCAGGCATCTTTGTGCTGCCTCCCTGTGATGTGCTGATATGAGCCAGCTATTCAACAGGGTGTGCTGCAGAAACGCACACACCCAGGAGCTGCAACATTCCTGCCATGAGGAGGGAAATCCCACCAACACCCACAGATGGGACAGACTAGGAACCCTCCTAGCAGAGGGTAGGATTCTGCCAGCCCTGGAATCCGAATGGTGTTGTCTCACCTGCATCACAGCCCCCCTCCCCCGGTGGCTTAGCATGACCAGCATGGACGCTACCAGAAGCTGCGCTCCTGCTACACCAGAGTGGATGCTACTGAGAAGTCCTCCCAGTGTCACAGGGTTGCCACAGTGGAAATGAGGGGGCTTCGGCTGCAAGTAAGACTGAGCTGAGCCAAGAGAGAAAGATGACAGCATTTTGACTGTTGGCAGGGCTCTCATCTTCTCCATTCAAGGAGGAGGCTCATCACTTGCTTCCCCAGTTTGGTCTTTCTTCACTGCTACAAGCGCAAAGAATGAATGAACGGTGCCAGGACGGCTGAGCTGCCGGCACATGTAGGCATATATAAGTGGGCAGAGAAGCGCAAACATGGTTGTAAGCACGCGTGCCTGAGGCGCCAAGCCAGCATTCATTCCACGCAGCCCTCGGGGCCAGAGAAGCTGTGCACCACTGGCATGAGTGAACCACTGTGCTCTGGGTGCCTCTTGCTGGCCTCCAGACAGCATCCAAACATGTTCAAGAGCCTGGGGCAGCAGCCCAGTCCAGTTGAGATGGTGGCAGTTCATTAACGACAATCACGGTTGTCTGCCAGTTTTGGAGTGCTGAGAAGCCACAGACTAGTCTAAGAGTAAGTTGCAAGAAGTAAAGTTGCCCACATCACACACACACACCACCATATAAAATAAAAAGGAAACTTTAATAGCAAACGCAATAGTGGGCACTGCTCAGTCCAGTCTCATTAAACAAAGCGCTGCTCAGGGCTCTGTTTGGTGCCACTTTATCCAGGAAGCCTCGAGCTAAATGCTCGTAAATCACATTTCCATGGCACAAAACCTTGCAAAGAATACTGCTTGGCACAAACCTTCAGGCCGGATGCCCTGATGATGGCTTTTGTTCCAGTGCTGTTTTCAGATACATCCAGGAGAGAAGCTTGTTAGGGCTCACACATCCCACTTGAACAGATGTGGGTTACCCACGACGGCCCGCAAGGGTCCTGATACCTTGCTGTCAGCACAAATGGAAGAGCAGAACATCCCCAGTGTTGCAAACACAACCTGCCCATCTCTGTCATGGATCCCAATCCAGTTCCAGCAAGGGGCTAACAATCTCTCTCCTTCTCCTGGCAATCGTCTTTGATTCACTCACGGCCTTCCCAAGCATCTTCTCTCTGCTTGGCCTCCAAGCGCTTCCTTTCTGTAAGCAGAAAATGGGCAGCTGAAGCAGCAACAGCCAAATGTGACGGAGCTGGTCAAGTGCTGGGCTTGGAAGATGCATGAGATCTTCCCCACAGCCTAGGCCTACCCCCTTCCTTTCAACAAACTAGGTTCTACTTTGGTGGTACGCCACACCATTTAACTCAGCCAGTTGTGGCTGGCTGCCCTGCGGGGATTCTGAGCTGGCCGCCCTGCCTAACCTCACCCCACATCTGTGTGCCCTTATTCCGGGCTCATCCACACCATGCACTGCGCCTGCTTCCCACCCCTAATGGCAACATTCCAATCGGATACACCTCACCTGTGCCAGAAGCAGCAATCTTGCTTGATGACCCAAGGGGAAAGGCGAATGAGAAAGAAGAATAGGGAGACTGCAGAGCTGGCAGTTGCAATTAAAATAAATTAGCCATTCCTATGCATGACTTACACTGCCTCCTGCAGCTGGGCTTGGCTCCCAGTCCTGCATCCTGGAGCAGGAGTCAGGATTGGAGCTCCACCTAGTGTCCAAAGCTGAACAGCACAGACTCAGCACAGCCTCGTTTGCGGTTTACCTATTTGCTAGAATGTCTGGATAGTCAGAAGTGTTCCCTCCACCCTGAGCCCCCTTCCTCACGGGCATCTGGGATGAGCAGCAAGCTGGTCTTGCGATTCCAGGTGCACCTTTAAATCTGCCCAGTGTGCAAGGAAAGAGAAAGAATACCTACTTCCGTATAGATAAGGATATACAAAGATAGACAGATGACAGATAGATAGATGGATGCTGCCGGAGGCGAGGCTGCAGCAGCCTGGGTATCATATGTATACCATGTGAAATTTGACCAAGGAATTATTCTAAAACGCTGTGCTTGCAGGGCACAGACTATCACTGGCAGTGGTAATCATACTGGAAATACCACAGTGATCATTGGGTACAGATCCTATTCAAAATTCTAAAGCTTTGGAGAAGAACAGTCTTTAACAACTTCTGATTATGCTAGGAATGTCACAGAGACCTAGATAATCAGTCCTCATACTCCAGTTTCAAGAGAACAATTGGGCAGGGGCTAACTGGGTAATAGACACTCTGCAAAGGAATTGTCTGAGCATATGCCTCAGGGAAAGGGGAGAGGGAGCGACAGAATGAGAGAAACTGGTGGGTCAGTTCTAACTTGTCCAGAATTATAAGGGCTGTGCTAGAACAACTTTCCCCAACTTCGTGCCTTCCAGAAATGTTTGAAGATTTCATTCCTACCAGCCATCATAGCCGTGATGGAAGTTGCTGCCCAACACATTTGGAAGGCACCCGTTTGGGGAAGGCTATAGAAACTGAAAATCGCATGGGCATTTAATCTGCCGAACTGACAGACAACCATTGGCACATTCATGGCGTAGAAAAGCTCCGTTGTTCAAGGTAGATACCTACAACAATGAAAAGATTTGCCTTGCAATGATTACTTGCATGTTCTCTTCTGATTGTGATTGTTCCCCGAAGGATCTGTTGTGTGTCTAAAATACTGCATTTTGTTTCAGAAAGAGAAGCAAGATGAGCTGGAAGTCCCTCAGCTTTACTTTCTTACACATTGCCTTTGATTGTTCCTGGAGGTTCTGCTGCATCAGGACTAACGTCCACCTCTGTTCCCATATCCTTCATTACGTAACTTGGGTGAAGGCTTTTCAGGGGCCTTGCCTCAACCTCCCTAAGTTTGCAGGCAGGATATATTTGCTTGGGAAAACTAGAGGCTCTGGCTAAATGGAGCTTTGGTTTCTAGCTGCTCTTTCCCATCTGCTCTAGTGTGTGCGATAGCAGAGAACAATGGTGGACGGTCAGGAGCTCTGTCTGCACTGCTGAGTCCGTAGGCCTACATTATACTACATAGGTAAGGCAACCAAGGCGACAATGTCAGGACAATGGGATGAATTCAGCAGAAAGAAACTTCTTCAAGGGAATACACTTGCCAGTGATTTTTATAATGAATTAAATCTTCTGTCACCCTTTCCTGCTTTCCCTAACACTTCTTTCAGCCAACTGTGCATGTTCCTTAGAAACTGTTCCACCTGTGGCTACATTTCAGTTAAGTAGCTCTGCAGAATCTAAAGCCTCAATCCATCAAGAGTATGGCCCATATTTCCATCTGGCCAACTCACTGGGGACAGAGGAATCTACTCAGCTTAGTTCCTGTGAAGACTGAACACATCTGAATATCCCTTCACAGATTGGAGACCAGGAGGAAGCAGAAATCCAAGACCAGGTCACTCTCCTCATATAAGTGATGCTGATGAGGTGGATTTCTAGGTACCCACAGTGTGCTCTGTACTGGCTGGGAGAGTTTTCACTTCTCCACTCCCAACAGAATGACCAAGTTATACTGGAAACTGCACAGACCTCACCAATCTCATTATGGTTTCCAAGTAAGTATGGCAGAGTGGTACGTTCCTTAGCCAAACTGACATGTACCGTCACTGTTATCTGGTTCATACAGCTGAAGGGCAGGCAGAGAGCCAACCGTCGTACCCCCAGGAAGGACAGGGCATTACTAGATACTTCTGTCCTTTGCTTACCATATGGCCAAGGAAGGGCCACCTGTCCATGTGCTTCCTGTATCCTGGAGCATGCTGGGAGGGGGCACAGCCCTGTCTTCGGCAAGAACCCCTTGCTTCTCCCTACTATGTACTATTGCAGAATCCTTTCCTTACCCTGTTGTGCTTCAACAGTAGAAAGTGGAAGGAGACTGAAAGGCTGAGTGCAACAAGGGAACTCCCTTCCCAAAATGCAGCAGGGCACCAAGGTGATTCCTTTTTTACATCCTGAAGTTTCAGTAGGGCATACACTGACTTAGATGCAGCAGAATTACTGGCTGTCCAGGAGCCTCCCTTGGGTACTCAGACAGGCAGAGCTGGCTGTGTGACAGCAGGGAGAGCACATGGTCGGTCTAGCTTACTCGTCATACTGTGCTGAAGCAGAGAGCTAAGTCAGGCAGACTCTCCAGGGAGGCCCAGAACGTGGGTAGTAAGTGAGAGCAGGGCAGCCTCAGGCAGAGACGTAGAGAAATTCCTTAGCATCTCTCACCTGGGTTTGCCTGGATCACCTCTATCTCACATACATGCAAACTTTATATTCAGCTCCTGTCTTCCCCACAAACCATGGGAGCATCAACACGCCCTTAGGCTTACCTCGGGCTGCTTGTAACTGCTTGCGTTCGGCCTCACGTTCCGCCTTGCTTTGGTTGCTCCGCACACCAAGAGCACCCGTCACCAGTCTCCGAGCCAGAGCAGCTGAGGTTTCAGGGCGCTCTTTGGCTGGCTGCAGGAATTCTGGAGGAATTGGCAAAGGAAGCACACAGCTCAGAGACAATACTACACCCCTGTTCCCAGTGCTGGTGGGGGAAGGAGTATTCAGGCACTAACTCAGCAGATGGTTTCTCCGCCTTGCACTGCCTGGTGCAAAGCAGGGAACAAATGCATCCTCTGCAGATAGTGCTCGCCTCTCCTACATATATGTTGGGATAGTGGAAGAGGTTGGGAACACTTCTAAGGGCCTTCCACTTGCAACTTAGGGGGAAAGGAGGTGGTAAAGGAATGAGACTGTGGATGAAGTTCCCTAAACCATAGCAATAGAGGGAAATCAATGGCTGTCTGTAGTACATGCCAGTGCTAGCAGGGCAGTGTCCTTAGCACCCGCATTCTCCAACTGCTACACTGAAAACAAGCCGTGCGACACTGGTCGTGCCTGAGCGAGGCCACGCACCCTTTAGGTCTCCAGATATCTCCTGGCAGAGTATTGGGAACCCAAGAAGTCCAGCTGCTGGGCTTAGCACTGATGCGATGCAAGAGTACTATGTTTGTTTGAAAGTGATGCCTCAGAGACCTGCAGAGCAACTCAAATGGGGTAACCCAACACACCAGTAGTGCTGATCCTTACTGACTCCAATGTTGTGGGGAAAAAACTCCACTGCTCAATCCTCACCTTCCGCTGGCCTATCTAGAGCCGCTTCATAGGAGGGGGACTCAGAATAGGGCAAGGCCAATGTCAGAAGGAAGAGGATTTCCAGCAGACCTGTTCCATGACTGGAAGGCTTTTTTCACCTGCACTACTAATGCTAATCAACATATGCAGGTGCAGAGATGTGTGTGTGTGTGTGTGCGTGTGCACATGCATGTGCCTGTGGAGTTCAGTGAGTAGGGCAGCCGACACCTCAGAGCTATCACTATGTATCATCAAGATGATCTGAGTTCATCTGTACAGGAAGGTAATAAACAGTACTTTTTGCCTTTCTAAAGATTTTGATTCTGCAATGCACAGTAAAATTAATTAAAAATACACACTACAGTTTTGAATTAAAAGCTGGAAGATGGTGTGAATCTGACTAGATTATTTCTGCATCTGTTTTGGCCTCACCAGCATAGGCCCGGGCCTTGGTCTTTGCAGCTCGTGTGGCCTGTGACAGTGGACGGGTTTTCACCGTCAGGTGCTTGGTACTGAGAGCATCCCGGGCTGTGAGAAGAGAAACAGAGATAACAGTAGGAATGGGATTAAGCCAGACTTGCCCTCCCAAATATCTATTGAGCCCAACCATGCTGAGTAAACATGATAGCAGTTGGAGTCCAGCACATCTGGAGGACTCCAGATTAAGGAAGGCTGGGCCAAGTGAACCAGAGTTACAGGACTCCATGCCCAAAGGACACTGTCAATCAACATTCCCCCAACAAGACAGCAGACACCCACTTTACACACATTTCCAGTGCCCAGCCAAGCTGTACTCAGAAGCAGATCGTACCTGTGATGGGACTGGAGAAGATACCCAGTGCATGTGTGTCATCTACCCACTTAATGTCAAAGCCTTTCTTCCTGGTGAGAGAGAAAGTTGGGGATTAGCAACTTATTAGTGGATTGGATGAAGAAACCCTGCAGAGTGCTCAAAAGGGGGTGCAGGAATGTTGTACATTAGCTCTGGAGAGTGGGAAGGATGCTCGGAATTGATGCAGCATTCTCTCGACTGGTAGCAATGCCAGTCCAAACACAAGGACTAAAGTCTTTGATCAAGGCTGGCATAAGTGATTTTGAGCCAGGGGGAGAGCTCAGCTCATCTAGAGCTGAGGTGATGGTGGTGCTCTCCAAGACTGGAGCAAAGGAGGTCAACTCCAGCAGCTTCCCTGCCCACCCCCCGCCCCCATGTTAGCAGGCCATAGAAGAGAAAGCTCAAAGTGAAGATAGACGGTATGTGCTTCAGCATGAAAGAGAAAGGATACAGTGTAAGAGGGAAAGACAAAGTGCTCACTGGTAGCTGCAGAAGACACGCATAAGGTCCTCAGTGCGGAATTCAGAGGGGAAGTCATAGATCTCAATGACATGTGGCAGCTCAGAGTCGCTCAAGTCCAGATCAGCTGGAGAGTAGCTGTAGTAGTCAATGTGTGGCTCCTGCAGCCCAGAGATGGGTGGGCTGTGGGAAGACAGCTGGAAGGAAACGCCGTGAACACCTGTGAGCCAGGTATGCATGTGACGCATCAGAAGGTCCTCTCTTTGCCCCAGCGACGTGCAGACAACAGAGGGGCCTCCAGGGCCATTTCACAGAACTGACTGTTAACCTAGAATCAGAGTGGAGTGGGAAGGGGGCATTTAAGCCACTGGTCCCGATGCTCCACTCCCAAATGGCAGGCATGCGTGGCCTCCGAATGCCAAGGGCCTCGGCACTCCCCAGACTCCGGGGCTTTTGGCAGCCTGGGAGTGGGTGCAGTGACCAATTGAAGGTGCCAGGACTCATGCTCCAGAAGGGGACTGATGGCCCACAGACTGGGAGACTGGGAGTTATCGATCAGGCGCCTCCCGCTACTTTCCCCATTCCCCATCTCCGTTGGCTCTTTTACTGGTTCAAGAGAGGGGGGCTCCCTCATTCCTTCCAAGGCAGAAAGCTGGAATGGATTCTTGCTCCCACTAAGTCTGCATCCTGCCTGCTGAACACTTCACCAAAAAAAAAAAAAAAAAAAAAAAAAAAAAAAATTAAGCTGCACCCAAACAGATTCCCAAGGCAGCTACAAACCTGAACTTTCACAGAAGGTATGGCAGCCGACCCAGTAAGTGGGTAATGCATGAAAGACTGTGAAAGACAGAAGCATAGGGCAGGGGCTGAGACCACAGGGGAAGAAAGCCAGGCATAGCAAGGTGGTGACTCATGGGAGAAGGTCTGCCTGGACTCTTGTGTTCCCTGGGGTAGCTACTATCTCAGCTGATGCTTAACCAGAAAATGCATCAGTCTTTCCAACCTGGTGCTCTTCGGATGGTTTGCACTACAATTCCCATCAGCCTCAGGGGTGATGGGAGTTGTAATCTAAAACATCTGGAGGACTCCAGGTTAGGGAAGGTTGAAAAACAACGAATAATAATAATTATAATACACATTAGCCAGAGTTGGTCCTCTTTTTTAAAAAAGGCAGACTCTGCTGCTGATCATGGAGGAAACATTAAAGTGCAGTGGGCCCCTGATCCCAGTGATGGTGTGAATGTCTGTAGCATGAATGGGAGAAGGATGGGAATCTGATGCAGGCTGATCTCACAAACTGCTCCTAAGGGAAAATGAGTTACTCTATAATTACTGTAAAACACGCTATATGCCCTTGAAAAGTATTTGGAAGCTACTTCAAAATGCTGTGGTCAGAATAATTGCTAGTGTCTGCTTTTCTGACCGCATTACATATTATGCTGGCTCCCAACTAATTTTTGGGCCCAACACAAGGTGCTCGTTATTACTTACGAAGTCCTAACTGACCTGCAACTGGGATACTTGAAGGATCGCCTTCTCCCCCACAAATCTATCAGTTGTTGCTTTGTCAACTGCTCTGCATTGTGCTGCTAAGGTAGGTTTGGGTGGGGGAAGCATGGAATAGAGCCTTTTCAGTGGTAGCACCCAAACTGGACAACTTGTTCTCACGGGAGACTGAACTGGCCTCACCTCTGTTGTCTTATAAACAGGAAGTTAAGACATTTTTATGCTGCCATTTATAGTGCGTTTTAATCTTGCCTGTTGCGGATCTGTTTTATTTTGGCTTTTCAAATTCTTTCCAGTTTGGACTTAGTAAAATTTTAATGGTAAACTGCCTTGAGGACCCTTTTCCCCAGGCAAAACACAACATAAAAAGTATTTTATAAAAAAGAACTTTCATTTTTAAAAAAAATTGCACGGTTTGCCATGTTTTAGCCCTCAGAGGGAGAAGATCAGGCAAACCTGACTCTTGTCCTTGCACAGAAGGAACCAAGGCCTGTGGGAGCACCACAGAATGCTAGCAGGGCTCATGGTAGGAAACTTCTCCATTAACTCCAGACCTGCAGTGGGATGACCGAATGGGTAACAGTCCTTGCCTTAAATAGCCTTGGCCTGGCCATCCAGCTCTCCCTCCAAAGGATGTGCAGAAAGGATGACAGATGTTTACCTCTAAGAACTGTCAAGTTACCCAGAGCCAGCATCAAGGGTAGGATGACCAAGCACCTACCAAGGGCCCACACGCCAAAAGGGGCCCCCCGGCAAGAGCCTCCTGGAGTTGCTCCTCCTCTTCACTATGGCAGCCCACGTGTCCTCCCACTCTCCCTCTCCCTCTAGCTCAGACAATGCTGCTGCTGCTGGTGGTGGTGGTGAGGAACACCCTGCCTACTTGCTCCCTGACTCTCTACCTGTTAGGCAGGCAGGCAGGCACTATGATGAGGAAGAGACTGACACAACAGCCGCTGGTGACAAAGGTAGCAAGAAAGAAGACCCACTGAGGGAGGGGGGCATTTCAGGCCCTCCAAGACCTGCAGCCTGCACTGAAGTCACCCATGGCTGCTGGGGACGGCTAGCTCGCTAGATTCAAAACCCTTAACCTAGCAGACACCCTGCTGCTAGTGCATTGCTAGCATACTGCTTGCGCTGGGTGCCTAAGCTGCACAGATCAGCACACATCCCATTGACAAGGGAGTCTATAATTCAGGCAGGCTCCTGTCTGCTTCTCCAACACCAACACAAGCCATCGCTGTACAGGAAGAGTCTATAAATTCCAGCCGCTTCAGTCAATAAAGGACAGTAATTCAGATAATTTCATGAGGAAGGTGAATTTGTGGATGGGTTGAACATGTAAGAGTAAGAATCTGAGAAGAGGAGGTGGAGCAGCAGCAACAGGGGGTAGAAAGGCGTGTCCCTGGTGGGTTTAACCAAAGCCCACCTGGGAGCTTGAGCATTAAGAGGCCAAGTGAACACGGATTAGGTCCAACATGACCAGCCCCGTGAGGGCGCAGGATGCATGCAATGCTGACTGGCGTGGTGGATTATCAGAGACCATGGAGTGCATGATGCACGAGTGCCCCTGCCCTTCACAGCCCACTGCGCGCAGAGCAGTGGGGACGCCACAGCTATGGGCTGCCTGCTTAGCATGGAGAGTGACCACTCCAAGCGCTGCAGTTCACAAGATGCAGGAATTTAAATTTGCTTGCAGAGTACACTGGAGATAGGGAAAAGAAAGCTTCTAAAAGCTTGGCATGCGGCACTTATATCTGCACAAATTTAGCCTTGACAAATGTGAGCCCGCTTTGCTGCTGCTGCTTTTTAGCGCAACCACGCAGCAGGCAATGCAGCAGGCACATGGCTCGGTACAATTAGAAGTATGCTTGCAACGGTTCACACAGCACTGAGAGTGTGGGGCCATTAATGATGGGAGTTTCCTGTCTTGGGTTGCTTACAGGAACTGTGCACCCTAGTGCCGCATTAACACAGTCCCAGCCTCCTGTTCACAGTCTCCTTCCCAGAGATCACTAATGTTTGAGTGCAGTCCTGTGCTGGGAAAGGTTCTGCCGGCGGATGCACAGGCAGCAGGAGCAAGAGGACACAGGAAATGAAGACTGTCTGCTACGGCTCAACGCTCTCCAAAGATTTATCCATGTCGGTGCACATTCCAGGCAAGCAGGGCAGCGCACTGATTGCTGCTTGCTTTTTTGGCTTTAAAGGCAGAGGAGACAGGCAACACTAGATGGAGTGGGGCAGGGGAAGCACGGCTGCAGGGGCTGGAGAAGCCCCATTTTCGTGAGGAGACGCAGCCAACTCACTGAGATGCATGAACGTGAATTCTTGAGCCCTGTGTTAATAGCACCCCACCCGCATGCACCCAGGGTTGACTAATTAGAATTCCTCCAAGAGTTAAGGCAGAGTTTATCAACAACAATCCTCTATGGCAAAACTGTACTTCCAGTTAGTGTATATTTTTCATGGGTGACCCAAGGAATGTTCTGCACTCAGCAGCACAGTAGTAAATTTTGAAATGCATCATGAACCAAAGCGACAGACACACCAGAGTGTCCAAAAATTCAGGCAGATGTACTGATCTGTATCAGCAGTTTTATCTTCACTAGGAAGAGGTCTTTTGTAAAGCTCACAGGTCTTAGTTGGACATTCAAGTCCAAGTCACCTCGAAACACTTTGCCTTACAACAGTGAACAAGACTCTGTTGTTGGGGAAATTATGTCCTCCTTAGTGAAAATGGGAGCCAATTTCAGAGGGAGCAGAAAGGTCTGGGGCGTGGTGGGGAGCGGGGAGAGAATGTCAATATCCCTGCTAATCCCAAAGAGTTATTGGGTCCCTGTAAGAACTGGTTCCACTGCACCACTGACTGCACCACAAATGGATGAGCAGCTTACAAGGAGAGCCATGTTTTTTTCACACACAAAAAAAGAAAATGAATTGTTTTAAAAACAAGAGAAACGATTTGCACATTTCCCACTGCAAATTCAAGTTTTGCTTCTTGTTTGGAATTTTTATTTTAACCTTTAGGTTATGGGACAACATAGAAATGGAAATAAATAAATAAAATTTCCTGAGCTGGCAAAAATGCGGTTGGATTAGGTGGCCTTTTGGTGACCCATCCAAGTTTGTTTTTATTAAAATGAAAGCTAGAAGACCTTCAGGATTAAGAGGACTGAGCAACCCAGTCCTAGGCTTCAGTTCACCTTATCAATGAAAACAGGGTGTAGCTCAAATGGAACAGCATACACTGCTTTCCTCAGATGAGCAAAACCCTTCCCAAGCAAAGAGCAGGGGCAGTTTCTAGGTAGTGAGTTAAAGGCAGCCTTCAAATATATATGAAGTACCCAAATGTCAAACCCAAACATATCACTCCAAGTATGCACAAACACTCCCTATTTCCGGGAAAGTGTGCACAGCTATGCTCACTCTCCTTTCACCCATCTCCAAACAGATACAACATAAGTACCTTTTGTAAGCCGTCCTGAGGCTTTTGCAAAGGACAGCATATAAATATCCTAAATAAATAAATAAAGTGCTCCTGCTCCTGTCTCCCTCTTGTGCAAACACATCTGCAGCACAGCATTGATACATGAGCCATAAACCCATGCAAAGTACCTCCAACGGTATATGCCAAGTTCTAGTTACTCTCCAAATTCCCACTTTCACACACCCGAACCTCAGCGCGCAGCCTCTACACAACCAAACGAGTTACACTGACCTTGGTGCAAGGAACAAAAGTAAGTTTTTTTCACTGGGACAAGTAATAGCACAGACACAGCTTTATTTAGACATGAGTTGTTTTCTCAGGATTGCTGCTTTTTCCACACTCTATTTTTATCTCACCTTATTCTTTTTTAAACATGAACAGGAAGATATGGATACGTGCATATCTGCATCAACACAGGCTAGAGCTGCAGAGGAAAAGTCAGGCTCTGAACCTTGCAGGAATCTTGCCTGTGAAGTGTCAGAACTGCATTTTCCCTAACACCTAGTGATCCTCTGATACCCGAACTATATATTTACAGTTAAAGGAACAGCATTTTATCATAAGGCAGAAACCTCTACAGTAACTTTAAACATTCCAGTTAATAATTTACTGCAGGGAAGATGCAAATTTACCCAAAGTTGGTGTGCAAAACACAGTGAATACTGTGGTATAGTTAGGAGTAATTGCTAGAGTGAATGCATCCTTTGTGAGATATTGTACACGGATAGGTGTGTTTTTGAATGTTCCAACAGGTTTTTTTTACACAAGGAAGAGGAATACAGCTCAGACTACATCGCAGGATCCATCACAGTTTGTAGCCCAAGTCCTGTTTTATCCATACAAAATCTTGTACCTCATTAAAGAGATACAAGCTTTTGTGTAATTGGTTTTGACAGAAGCTTTGCACTGTCCTTTTTCCTAGCTACTGTTCTATCTTCTCTCTTTCATTATCAACCCCCTTTTCTATTTTAAGGTGCATTTTCAACATTGCACCCATTTGCCAGGACACTTTTAAACAGTGTCTGCTAATTTCTCTTAGCAGACAATAAATCTAGCTACTTCATGATTCCAGAGCTTCGCTATTTCACAAGCTTGACTCCTCTGGGGAGGGAGAGGGGAAGGAATCACATCTAATAAAAGGGATTGGGGTAAATAGGTATGGGTATATTGATGCAATCACAAACAGTTCAGTGTTCATTAAAAAATATTTGAGAAGTGCTAATGACAATTCAAGGAGGAAGGTACATAGATATATGCCAAACCATCAGTGGGCACATATATGGAAAATGCTCCAAGATTTGTTCCAGGACAGTGAAGGATAATGTTGAAATGAAATGCAGTGTGTTGCTCTGGATATAGCCTAAACCAATGCCTTCATGGATTCCTTTAGATGACAATACATTCCAAACATAACCATCACACTAACATTCTTGTTCTGCCTGCAAGCTTAAAAAAATCATGTCACCTTTCTATTGAGAGAGAGAGCCTACAAATGAGTTGACAAATACATTCCTCACTGAGCCAAGCAGAGTGAGGCACCCAGGTGCCCTTTGGCTATGTTGGACTACGATTCCCAGCATGCCTAGTCTGCCATGCTGTTCTGGAGTCCTCTCTGAATGTGGCACTGTTTCCAGTTATGGGGATGCTAACTGTTTCAGTTACATTTTGAAACCATTGGGTAGTTTTTTCATCTTTATCTCCACTTACTTACTTACAATATTTCTACCCCATCCTTCTCAAATGTGCCAGGACGACTTACAACATATGGCTTACAACATACTGGATTATCCATCTTAAGAAAAAGGACAGATGAGAGAAGTGATGGGAAAACATGGGAGCATCTTCTGCATCATCTGAGCCCCCTGTAAAATCTCATGAATGAGGTAACGCAACTGCATGGCAAAAGCTTTGTTTGGAAGCACCCTCAATTACTAGGATGGTGAAGAAATCTGTAAAGCACAAGTCGTCATCTTTCCTTTAGCTTGCTGCTGTGTCTGTTTGCAGCCTTCACCCAGTTTTCTTTCGGGCATCGGCTCCACAGACATCACCTTCACTCTGCCAGTTCTGCAGACTGCCCCTTCCGCCAAGTGGTTGCTTATAATACAGTTGAAAGGAAATTATCCCCGACTTTCTAAAATTAGTGCTTTCTAATGCAGACAGTTTACCGCTATCACTTCGCCTATAAAGAGAGGGAGGGACCAGGGGTAAAGGAGCAAAATGATTGCACAGTGCAGGCTCCACACTACTGCAATTAGGCCCTGTCCAGGCTAGAACAAATCCATGCATCAGGCCTCGAGAACAGAGGAAGACACACCCTTGCCACAAGGCCATCCCATACCACGCTGTTTGTTTAAGCCTGGCCATGCTGTGGCACTACTGCTTTCCTTTTGACAGCGCCAAATGAAGCGGATCCAGCCTTACAGAAAAGATAGATAAGGATGCCGTCCTAAGCTAGATAAATTGTTTTTTCTTTTCCTAGTGTTTTCCAGCACGCCAACATTTCCCCTGCTCTCTTTTTGGATCAAAGTGGCTTCCTAGCTATCTTGGCTGCAAAAATGCACAAACCAGGCAGGCAATCTCCACAGATGCTCCTTTAGTTTCTGTGTGCCTGAGAATTGGTGGATGACATTGTGCCTTTGATACACAGGCCTGATTCCACGTAGGAGCTGGAACTCTGGCCGTACGTAGTGAAATGTTTGTGCAAAGCTCCTGGATTTGGGGGTCGTTCCATCCTCTTGCCCTTTTAATGCCCATGAATACAAGAGCTACTCGCTGTGCTGCCACTTCTGCTGAAGGCATGGGAATGGCATACAGTCCCTTTGCGGCGTATGTGCCAAGGGCATGATCAAGGCTAGATCTCGACTGGCAGGTTACCTCCATAGAAAGGGGGCTTTCATTTCCCTGCCATTACTGACTGGAATAAGCAGCAGTGAACCCCAAGCAGCTTCCTGTAAAAGCTGCCCCCATGGAGTTTTAACAGCTTCCATTACCAGGAGTTTAGGATAGTTTATGAGCTAACCCTTGGTAATGAGCCTGCTTAGTTAATTTCAAAGGTTCGGAGGAGCCATTAGCAAGTGGAATCCGTTCAGATCAACCCTGACTCGGAGAGCAGGCCTGGATGCACTTCACCGCAATATTAGGACACTATGTTACTTTAGGTACCTTTGTGTCACTCCAAAAGTACAGGGCTTATGGTATTGATTTAAACGTTAATAAGGGGCTCTCTGCCATCCAACCGACAATAAGCTTTTCTCATAAGCTGAAGGCAGGGTTGCCTGCACTGCACTACTCATTGTGATACATTCAGCCCTACCCGTACAGGGCAATATGCTAACAAGCCAGAGCCAATTAAAAACCTGCCATTCCCATGAAACTTCACGGTACATCTCTCCACGCCTGGCGGTCATCATGACGACTCTGCTCCACGGCATTGCAGTCAACATGCACAGCACTTCCACCTGCTTTATTGCACACATTTTATATACTGTCAATGGAGTATATTTCTCTTTTGTGTAACAGAGGCATGCCCATGCCGAGTTTAGCAAACACTGCAGAGCTCAGCCTGCTGCAGATGTCAGACTTCTTATCCAGTCACGGTGCCCCTCGTTGCTTAAGGATTCCTTTGACTTTTCTTAGTGTTGGAGAGTTCCACAAGTTAGCCATGCATCATGTACTGCTAAATGCCAAAACAAACAAACAAACAAGCAAGCAAATACAAAACCAGACTGCAACCCAGTCAAGGTTTTTACTGGCAGGGTATATGGGATGAAAAAGCTTTTTAGCCTTGTAAGTTTCTTTTGCTTTCTATGTCTGCCAGTCACAAACTCCCTGAATCTGTACTCCACCCCCTATGGCTTTTCTCCTCTCCACCTCCCAAAGTATGCAAATATTGTGTGTGTGTGTGTGTGTGTGTGGTGGGGAGGAATTCAGAAGCTGTATCAAAATAAATGACTACATTAAATCTATCCATTTTGAATAATGTTAACAGTTTACTCCAAACACACAGGTTTTGATTTTTCAATAAAGAATTCTAGCTTCAGTGCTTATTGTAAGTTCTTCCTGGAAGCAGGAGAGAATGCAGAATTCAAACATTGCAGACAAAAAGGTCTAGATCCATGATAAGCTGCCTGTTCAGGACCACCAAATGAAAAAGCGGATCAGTGCTAAAATAACGTCCCTCACCCACTTATATAAATACAGCTCCTACCACTCTGTCTTGTGGTTCTCATCTCTGGGCAAGGTCCACACTGAGTACTCACCGCCTCCAGCAAGCGTGGATCCAGGCAATCACCATCATCATTAAAGAGAGCATCCCAGCTCTCTTCGGCCATCTCATCTTCTTCCCTGTGGGTTGCAGGGCCGACACTGGTTCTACTGGGCTCCTCCCAACTGGATGGCACACTCTGCCCAGCTTCTCCTTCTGCCTTGGCTTCAGGTGGATGCCACAACCTTATGCCCAAATTCCCATGGGTTGGGTTTTCTGCAGAGGTGTCACCTCTGGGTGCTTCTGCACTGTCCAGAATGCTCTCTGGACAGCATGCCATCTTCTTGGAGACACATTCCAGGAACAAGCTACCAACCTCCTCAGAGGAACTGCTTACGTCAGTGCTGCATCTAACCTCGGCGCTTTGATCTCCCAAGTTCAGCTCAACTTCTGCTGCTGCCAGGGCAGACTCAGAGACATCAACTTTATGCTGGTGGGCATGCTGGGAGAAGCTGCTACCTTTCTCATGTTCACTGCCACATACCTGCCTTATGTCATCCTCCATTACCTCACAGACACAATTCGGCGGACCATCCAAACGCCCATGGGCCCTCTCCGAACAGTGATCACCTGCAGCTACTCCTGCACCGCCTGGGAACTGCTTGCTTGCCTTCTCAGTCAGGTCACTTGCCTCTGTCTGAACCAAAATGCTCTCACCCACACTGTATTCAGACACAGTATTCAGGCTGACTCCAGTCTGCTCAGACATGCACTCAGCAGCATGCCTGGGCACAGGCCCCTCACTCTCCTCTCCAGGCTCTACTGTGCTACGCTCAGTCACTTGTGCTTGAGCTCGAATGCACCCATCTGTGTCTTTGGTTCTGCTGCCTTCCTTTGGTTCTGTCTGATATGCAACTTGCCACTGCGAACATTCCGACATGCTATGGCCACTCACCTCTCTTTGATTGGCGCTGCTCTCATCTATGCATTTGCACCTGTCACGCTCCTCTACCGTGGTGCGAACTGGCACACTCTTGGCAACAAGTTCTAGCACGCTACTGTCGCTTGTGTCTCTTTGACTGGATACTTTCTCACCTGAATACACGGATGAGCATTCCTTGTGTGTCTCAGAGCCACCCAGAACCTGCTTACCCTCATTTTCAAACATGATGCTCTTACCTACTCTGGTTGGCTCCAAATCACCTTTGCTTACAGGCTTCATTAGTCTTCCTTCGCTAGCCAACATGCTCGGTTCTTTCAGTTCTCTCTGCCCCAAGAGCCTCTCACTGTTGTATTTCTGCACACTTTTGTCACTCAGCCCTACCTGGTCTGGGAGGAGCGCTCCTGCATGCTTACAAGTCCTTTGCGAATAAAATAGGCCCTGCTCTGCCGATGAAACCATAATGTGCTCTTGTTCTGAAAAGCAGTCTACACCACTAATTTCTGGCTGAAGCCGGAGATCTGCCATCCTCTCCAGGGCATCAGTAGAGTGTGCTTGGCAGCATTTTGGAAGTGCCTCAACTTCACTGTTGGGCAATGGAGTAGGGCTAGGATCTATGAAGAGAGAGGCAGAAGGCAGTCTATACGATTCCAACTTTTGCTGGGGCTGCATTCTCTCCATGGCCTGCACCTTTGGCTCTGAGCTGCTTTGGTGGAACGCATCACTATGATTCCGGCGTGGGGAAGAAGTTCCTCTCCTTTCGCTGGGGAAGGCTGTGGCTCCTTCTTGATCACTTCGAAGGAGGCCTCTCCCAGCTATAGGGCTCTGCTTTGCCTCACATCCTTTTGTGCTTTCCTTCTCTATGGGCCAGTGGCTCTCCTCCCTCCCACATCTTGTGGTGGCCAGTGAGGATCTGGGTTTGGGGGCTGCCATCTCACGTCGTGCTCTGGGAACATACAGGGCCATGTCTGGTTTCTTGGGCCGTATCCGGGTCCTCTCTGTATCTGGCTGCATAGTGCTACCAATACCTGTAAGAGAGGAAAGCAATCAGTCCAGTGCATCAGCAGGGCAATGTTGGTCCATGGGTAGGGGTGTGCACAGAAGCATAAACTGTGCGGAGTTAGGTCAACTTTAGAACAGAAGAAATCCCAGATGGTGCCTTTTTCAAATCAGAATATACTGGAACATGGGGATGACAGAGCCAAGAGAACAATTTCCTCTGGATACTGGAGTGCATATGTCTCTACTTATTATTATGTGTCATTATGACATCATAAATAACTGCTTGCATGCATTCTATAAGAAGGAAAACCGCATTCTATAGGAAATGTTAGACATTCTGACTTTATCTTGGGTCCAAATGAGGTGATTTTTTAAAATTAAAAAGAAAATGGTACAGAAGATTGAGCAGTGGTGGGCAGGGAAAAAACATGAAGACAGTAGCTGAATATCTAATAGAGACAGAGATTAGGATATTGCTACTCAAGAAGCAGGAAGGAGTAATTTAGAACACTGAAATATTATCCACTATTCTTTGGGAGCCCGGTGTATATCCTCCTTTATTTTGTCAGTATTTCCAAACTTATTTGCAACCATGCACATCAGTAATTACTGGTACCAGTAATTCTATGCCAGATTTCATGCTAGCATGGAACAAGTAGCTCTACCTTTTTAACATTATTTCTTTACACTAAGCTACACTTAGAATCAAATAGTCATCTGGAGAAAAGTGCTACAGCTCAAATACCTTGGCATTTGGCTTATTCTTCTAGATCAAAAAACTGTGCATTGACTCTTATTGGCCTTGTCTGAAATTTTGGTGGCATTCAGCCCCTGTTGTGGCTTCCCCTCTCTATCCCCAAACACTTTCAGATACAGCTCCCTAGAAAGCAGGACTTTCACAAGTCACAATGATTTTAACTTGGGTCTAAACGAGAAAGCTAATATTACATTCTATTTTCATATAGATGACAAGTTATTTCCAAAAACTGGTATGAGCAAGCTTCTATTTGCTCTTTTCTGCACATTAGTATCCTAACCCCAGTGTATTCAAGCCCTAACCAAGTTCCTTTTATCAGCTTTGTTTTCTGCAGGAAACCACAACAGTGCTTGTCTTAAGTGCAGCTTTTTGAAGCAGTTAAATATTAGAAATATATTGCTGTTTCCAAAACGCCAGAAGCCCCCTTCCTGGTGGTGTAATTTGGACTACAACTCTGTAGTAGTCTCACCATCATATATTTTGGATGGGGATGATGGGAGTTGAAGTAAAAAACATTTAGGAGGTGCCAGGTTGGAGAAAGCTGTACCTCATAACTACACAAATGTTAGTAACCAAGTCTAGTTGAGTGACAGATTTTCAAATATAATACAGTTTGATAGACTAAGCATGATTAAAGCAGGTATAACAGCACACCAACATAAGAATGAAATTTTGGCCTACATGTGATTCCTAGCCTAAAGCTGCAGTAAGTGCCATTCAGTGTTTCCTCCCTGGGATAGAAGTGAAGAATTTTCCTACTAGATCTTTATTTTATACACAGACTTCCTAATCTGTGCCCTACTGATCTTACAATGAGGTTTTCTCCTTTTTGGTGGCAGTGGTAGTGAGGGAGAGAAATGTCCACTATCAAAATCAGTCAAGTCAAGCCTCCCCTTCATAGACAAATTCTTAACTAGGTCCCTGTAAAGAGAAGCCCAGTTCATCTACCTTAATATGCTGTTCTTAAACTGACAAGATCAGCACATAGGTAGAAAAAGTCATTTTCATGGTGTTATGCAGTTGGGTTGAATTTCTGGACAGTTAATCTTTGAAAGCAAGGCTGGCTTCCATAAGGTGGCCAGGTCAAGCTTTGCTAAGGCCCCAAGTCTAGCAAAGTGCTCATCCCAATTCCTTCTTTAGGCAGAACACTCAATGAGTTCAGAAGCAGGATGACAGAACCTGACTTATTGGTCTAGAGCAAGGATTGAGGATTTGTTTCAGCTCAAGGGTGGAATTCCATTTTGGTGAAGATTTCTGGTACCGCATTCCAGTGGGGAGTTTTGCCAAAGGCAAAAGAGATGAAGGCAAAATTATTAAAAAATCCAGTATATTTTAACTTAAGGCTCTTATTGCCAGTAACAAATCCTTAGGAGGGGTGGTTCTACCTTTTAGAATGAGAAAAACTGTACAAAAGCCAGGAAAACCAAGAGTCATGATCAACTGGGGAAACCTGAAGGGCTAGATTTGACCTCTGAAGTTCTCTCTCTGGTCTAGAGAGATGATTTATTGTTTATGGTGCCATAAGAGAAATCCTGAGTTCAAATATTGCAGAAGCCCTGCCTAGGGAGAGAGCATGTTCCCGAGACAGAGCACATGCTTTGCAATCAGAAGGTTCCAATGGTATCACCACAGTATCTCCATTTTAAAAAAAGAGAGATGATGGGGAAAACATCTGCCCGAGACTCTGTAGCATCAGTGTAAGAGCAGACAAGTCATCTGGCAAGGTATAAAGCAGCTTCACATGCTGCTAATTCTACAGAGTGGATTTGCTCAAAGCCCACCCCCCTCAAATCTTGTTTGGGGGACACAGAGAACCAGATGCACAGCCAAGCTAATATGCAGGCTTGGAATACCTAAGGATCTGGATGAGAGGTAACAAGTTTGGATGGGCTGGCTGAGGTGCTTTCTGTGACCCACTTGCTCATCTGCAGCTAGAAGGGAACAAAGGTTTATGCTTTCTAATTGATCTAATTAAAACAAACAAAAAACCAGCACCATGCACCAATAAGTCCTGCTTTTCAGGCCTCCAGATTGAAATGATCCAGGTTCTTATCAAAGTCTAACAAAGCCTAGGAAAGAGGCTAGAATGCTGATTCATGCATTCTCTTGCCCCTGCCCAGTGCCAAATGGCCATCTGAATTCAGTGCTATCACATGAGCAAAGGGAGAAGCTTGCACTGTGCCCTCTCGCCTTTGTGACTGCATTCCCCTGGCTATGCAATAAATGCAGTGTATATATATTCTAAACTGACACACACCTAAGGGACTGATTTAAGAGCCTACAAAGAAAGGAAGTAATATCTACAGAATATGCTAAACATGCCACAACTCCTGCTGGCTATACCTCAGAAAATATATAGCACGCATTATATTAAATTAAGGTTCACACATTAATAAAGCAGGAGCTGAAGATGCTGCACTGAATTTGGCACATGGATGCAGGAGGCTTGGTTTTATGCTAATGGCTATGTTTTCCTACATGAACTATGAAACTGATAGACTTCATGCCAGGATGAGTGGAAATGTCTAAGTGTTGAACCTGCACTGCTTATGCACATAAGCCGAAACACTGAAACGTAACAGTCACCTCCAGCCCATCACTAAGAAAGAAAGATTTATCAGACTTAATGGTGCTTATTGGGATGGCATAGGCAATAATACAAAGCCCAGCCACTTGCACACAAATGGTATGTTCAGTGACGAACTTTCTGCTTTACAGCTATGTGAACAGTTCCCAATTACCTGAAATAAACTCTTGAGCAGAGATGCATAACTTTTTTAAAAAGGGCTTAAAATTCCATCCTCCCTCACCATTGGCTATGCTGGCTAAAACATTTGGAGGCCTAGAAGTAACCCACTGTTGCCCTAGAGAAAGGAGAAGCATAGTGATGTGTTCTTTGGAAGACCAGTAAGAGGTAAACTGGAATTGCTGCCACATTCAAATAGAGAACCTACTGCCACAACAAGCACGTGTTACATGCACATGGGAGTCTAACATTTTCAGAGAATGAGACAACTTAATTACAAGGGGAAAGGCTGGCTATTCAGACTAGCAGCAATATAGGTGCCCTTGTGCCCATTCTGCTGAACACATTCAGAAAAGGCAGGGATTCCTAAGTTTGCCTTTTGCCAGCCTAGCTACCACAAATCCCAAAACACAGAGAATAAACACCCAGAAATATTGGAAGTAAGTCCTGCCACATGGTACAGGGACACACAGGGTCTTGCTCATTTGCCAGTAATCAATCAGGAAATGTGTTGCCTATGTTGGATTAATAGCATTAGCAAGCAGTGAGGAACAGGGCAATCCTAGCTTACTTCTGGCAGAGCAGACAGGGCCAGGGGTCCTGGGTATTCTGCTTCCAAAGATGCGTGTTGCATGCTTAATATACTGAAACTATATGGAATAACAAGAAACAGACAGCAGCTTGCTTCCTACCAAGATGCTTCATCCATGCAGCCCATAGCCAGTATGAGGAGCCGCTACATACCCAGCTTGTACATGACACACACAGGCCTCAAGTCACTTTTAGTAAAGGATCCTGCTCACATTGTACAAATGGGGAGATAACTACAGGTGAATGTCCAAGTTTACACATGCAACAAATTAGGAATGTGACTGAGCAAATAGCTTTGAAATCCAGGCGCTTAGCTACCTCGTATGTCCCAACCCCTCCTACTTATTGGGAACAAAAAAACAAGCATAAACTCCCTGAAGCCCAGACACTTCATCAAAGAATAGAAAGAAGCACCTCTCTTCCCACTAAGATCTCGGTATCACTGTGGGGATTCCAGTGATCAGGACCTTTCTTAACGGCAGGAACACAGCCCCGGAATTCTGGCTCTCACTGCTCTCTCCGCTGCTTGACCACGTTCTCTTCCTCTCAGTTCAGAGCCTTGACCCTTCCCTCCCAACCCCAGACCGCACAGCCTTCCATGCTAACCACCATCACCCCCAGGCCCGTGCGGCCCCCACTTGCCAGGGAGATTTATTTTTCATAAGCTTTGGCACAAACAGCAAGGCTGCTATCTGCCAGGCCCCGGCCCCTATAAATATGCATCAGGCCACATTTATGGAGACAGATGGCTCGGGGGTCTGTCCTGTGGTTGCAGGGGAAAGGAAGAGTTGGGGAAGGGTGTGGCCACATGATTAATCACTGCCCACTCTGTTTAGGGGTATTTATCATGGCCCACTGTCAGGTAAATCACTGGAAAAACACCTCTCTAGTAATTAATGGGAAGTGACGGATGGACAGCCCCTGGGCCCATTAATCTGGACCATCAGCAGCAGACCAAGATTATGAATGTCAGGATGCATAAACTGTATACCAATCAATAGGGCCAGGAATTCATCCAAGGTTCTCATTTCCGAGGCACCTCCGGTGCATTAGGCTGTGTTCAGCTTCCCCACCCTTCTCCCTTCTTCTCTCCCCTGATGTGAACTGAAAACAGATCCCTCCCAAGCAAGCAGAGGGTATGGGTTGCAGAGAGTCCGGAGGGCAGGTATGCTGCAAAAGAAACCCACAGAAGCCTCAGACGCCGTGCAAAACAGACAGATACCCCCAAAGGAAACACAGACAGAACAGCCAATTCAGTCAGGATATACATGAAAGCTGCACATCAGTTCGCTTCATTCTGCTACAAGCACACACACATAAGAGCCCAGCTAGATAACACCAAGGTCCAACATTATTTTTGCGCAGTGAGCAAGCAGCTGCCCACAGGAAACCCGCAAGAGGGCATGAAAGCAACACCAGCTTCCCACCAAGTCCAGAGCGACACGTGGACACAAGCATACTGCCTCTAGAGGTAGCATATAGCCACAGGGCAAGGAACCATTGATAGTCTTCTATGTCATGCTTCTATCCAATTCCCTTTTCATGTTTCCCCAAGTAGAAAGCATTTTGTGGAAGCAAATTCCAGAGTTTAACTACGGGCTGTGTGAAGAAGTCCTTCCTTTTATCTGTCCTGAATCCCCCACCAACCATTTTCACAGGATAGTATAATCACGGGGGGGGGGGGGGGGGCGGATATCATCATACATGTTACAAGCTAACAGGTCTCACAACACGTATAATCTGTTAAACAGAAAGCAACATAGCTCCATGGCCTGCACTCCGCAACCACAATGCTTGGCCATGGTTAGTAGTTAGAAAGTGCCTTGGATTAAGGGCAAAGAGTTCCATTCATGATCCAAGAAAATCTGTGATTTCATTTCAACTGCTTCTTCCATTAGTCCTGCCATAGGAAGCCTTAGTTCTTCTCCATGGTTTTTGTGCGTCACAAAAATGGGTTTTTGTACCAGCGCAGAGCCTAGAATCAGACTCAAAGAACAGTTACAAGTAAGCAACCTGCCTTTCTAGATGGAACTGGGAGTAAATGTGGTAAATATAGACTGTCCCCCAAGATCATGAAGGGAAGGTACCCAGTGAAGCTGTTAGCCAAGCGACAAGGGTAGATGGCAATCCTTTTCCATATACTCCTGAGTTGCACAGGAACTCCCTTCTAGAGCAGCTTACCCCAGTCTTGTGCCTTCCAGACATGTTTGGACTGCAACATCTATAATTCCCAGTCAATGGCCCTGCTGGAAGAAATCTGGGAGTTTCAGTCCAAATGCCTCTGAAAACCACCAGGCTGGGAAAGACTGTTCTAGAGCACAGACCAATTTCCAAGCCCTGGAACCAACTGGGGCTGGAAACACATTCACTGCTGCTACTTCCCCAATTTCCAGTGGTGTAGTAACAGTGGCTAAAAAGTAGTACTTTCAAATTAAAATGAAATGCAAGGTGTGCAGATCTTGCTTTATTGTGACATTGTCCTCCCAGAAGCTGGGGATGGTGGTGGTATCATGAATTCATATTAAACAAGTTGCCCAGTGACTATATATCTTGTTCTGAAGTGAAAAATATGACTTTGTGATGCTGTCATCACAGCCAAATTCAGCAGCAATTCAGTAGTGATTTGGTGGGGTAGAAGGTATGCATGAAACCCACAGACCACATGCTGGCCACCCCTACTCGAAATTCCCACCAACCTTTTTGAATATAGCACTAGAAACATTTCAAAAAATCCTGCAGTACAAAGCAGTCACAATACAGAAAGCCAGGTTTTCAAGTACAGATAGACAAATGTTATAAAACTTATTCTGTGCATATTTTGCAAATTGACGGGGAGAAAGACATCTGTTCTTTGACAGAATTGAATCTTATTGCGCAAGAATTTGGTTTTTGATAAATATTTGTAAATGCATATTAGAAAAAATGCATACTTGCACCAGTGTGTATTTGTGCTATTTCCTCCCAAAAGTTAAAATAAAAAAGTGGTCCACATGTCCATGGAACCTGCAAAACTAAAAACAGCCATTGTGGAATATGCAAGTCAGATTCAAAGAAATTTGATCTCAGTTGAATTGGTTGGTTTGTTCAATACCTCTAGTATCAAGACAGCATCCTGTGGAGGATGGGGAAAGCTTTACACAGAATAAGGGGTCTTCAGTCCATTACCTAAACAAGATGCGGGCAGAGCCATTGGATCTTTTCTATTCTCCAATAAGCTAATTTCACCAGCAGAATGGTCCCCTTCATCTTTATTGACTTCGTGCAAAGAGAACGTATCATTAAGACAGTTTCAGCCTAGAGGAGTCATTTTTCAGCACACAGTATAATCCACTTCTTTCCAAACAACCACACCCACTGAAGACAAGGGATTGCACTCAACAAACATTGCGCTCTAGGGAGGGGGTCTCTCATGCAACAAACTCTGCCACAGCTCAAAAGGGGCAGCCACATGCAATAGCACAGCGCATAATTCCCTTTCAGATAATACTGCTGTGGCAAATAGAAAGCAGGACACATTTGAATCTTATATGGGACTACAGAATCAAAACTATGGAAATAGTTAGCAGTCATAAGGAATATGAGCTATGCTAGATCAGAACAAGGGATCCATCAAGTTCTGCACTCAGCTGAAACAGTGGCCAACCACCTGCCTGTGAGAAACCCACAGCTATGGCATCCCTGCTCATGTTCCTCAGCAACTGGTATGCAGAGGCATATTGCTTCTCTGACACTGGACCCTGAAGAGCTCCACAGGCAGTGCAAAGAGGGCAACAGAATGTTTCGACTGTCAAAGCCCTTCCCAGCCCTCCTGCGGCATCACAAGGACAAGTGGGACCCCTGCTAGAAGACAAGCAGCATTATCAAAACAACACTCGGGACTGATGCTGAGAAAGCTGAAGCCTTGCCTGAACCCCAACATGCCTGTAAAGCTAATACAAACATAACAGAAAGTGGGAGGAACTGCTGGATATTACACCATTAATTATCTAATGCATTTGGCACATTTGATGGGCAGGGCTAGATTTATAGTCCTTCCTCCAATCTGCACTCTCCCACATCCCCTCTCACTGATTTCTCCCTAACACCAGTCCTCTATATCTTAATAACCCACCAAGCTTTCTCTCATTCTTCATAACACAACACAGGGAAGTACAACAGAATCGTAAGACAAAGAAACACTTTAAACAAAGAGCCCCTTGAAATGAACAATTCCCTTGACAAGCCATCTTTAAAGATCTCTGGAGAATAAGGTTTACAATATCCTTCTTTATTGCAACTTTTCTACAAAGCACTTCCCAATAACCCTCTTGAATCTGCTGTTGTCACTTGAACTCCCACTGGTTGTGGTGTTCACACCAGTGTCCAATGAAACTAGCTGCTGTTCTTAAACGGAGTGCTTTGCCCTATGAAAGTCACACTTCCCTTTTATGGGTTTGATACAATGGGCTGATCATGCAGCAGTTGTTTAGGCTAAATTCTTTCTAATGTTTCGACTGTCTTACAGTGTTTTGGTATTTCAAAGCAAGTCATTTTCAGCTGTTTTATATTTTGCATGCATTTAATAACCTTGCTGTAAGATACCTTGAATCTTGAAGAGAAACATATCTTCTATTATGATCATCATCATCATCATCATCATTATTATTATTTCAGAGTCAGGTCTGCTGGCTAATTGAAGGGATGATGAAAACTGCCTCTCAAGTAAAATGGGGTGGTGGTGGAGGGAACCACACAAAATGCCTGGTTGCCTGGACTCCTAAAAAGCTGGTGCTGGCTCCTATGAATTTAAATCAGCTCTCTTTGGGGACAGACTTCTAAAAATGTAATGACAGCTTTTAGGATTGCTAAGTTTATCAGACCCACTCTCAGTCCTGCCAGAGTCCAGAAGCACAATGGCAACAAAGTGAATCTGGGGACATTTATTATCTTACAACTGCTGACATTTGCCATTTCAGTGCTTCCTTACAACCACAGTTGCTGAAACAAAGAGGGTCTCAGGTTCTGTTCAATGCTTTTTAGCCCTGATGATCATAGAGATAAAGAGAAGATGTGACTGAAATGCATCTGAGAGCTTACGGCTCAGTACCAGGATGTCTAGAAATAAAACCCCCAATGAATACAGTATGCACTCAAAGACCCCAGAATTCAGTAGCACAGTTTGATCAATGCTGGTGACCCTCTCATTGCGTAGACCAGAAACAGCCAACTGGCCTCCTGGATCTGTCCTCTACCACCCATTCTGAAAATCAGCTTACCAGATTCCCAGTAACTCTGCAAAGTCTTAATTGGACAATTAAGAAAATCACATCGTTTTACTCATAAGGAAGAGTAGCAGTGAGCCTGCCAACATATTTTACTGCCAGTCTGTTACCTAAAGAGATCAATCCCCCCTCTCAGCAACAATCTTGAATCACCCTGTCTTGCGTGCTCTATATCTATGAAGCTCTTGCTGTCAGATGATGCTGACAACCATAGAAGAGGGCCAGGAATGAGGAGGTCAGGTTGTTCTACCCTGGAGAACATCTTTATCAGGACAATAAGAAGTTGGGCTTCTCCAAGCTAGATTCCACTGAAGCAACAATTCTGGTGCTGAGCGCAAACTTTCACTGTAAGCCAAACTGTAAACCTTTCTACGAATGGCTCGTGTGTGTGCCTGGCTCCTTCACCCGCCTCATCCAGGCTCTTCAGACTGGAAAGCCATCTCTGATGAGACAACTGTGCCACAGTCTGTCATCATGAAGTCGCACAACCTGCGTTGTATCATGGTCTGAGGAGCCACAACCAGTCACGCATCCCATTAAACTTCCACTGATATAAGAATCTGCAGTTGCTTCAGTGACCTCTGGCTCTCCTTGTTTCAGCTCTTAGGAAAGGTCCACACTTTACATGGGAACACATAATTGCTGTGCATACACTCGTATCGGGTATATAGGCATCGCGTATCCGTGTGCATTCATCTGGGAGTCTTGGCCCAGCTGCAGTCCCCGCATATACAACACCCCACATCTCACCTGAGAACACCAGTACAAGACATATATGCATAGCTTTAGAAAAGGATCGTGCAAATTCACAGAGGATACATCAATCAATGGCTACTGGTGATGAGATATATTACCTCTCGCATCAGAAGCAGTATGCCTCTGAATATCAGTTCCTGAGGCACGTGAGCAAGCGGGCTCTGTTGCACTCATGACCTGCTCGTGAGCTTCCCAGAGGCACCCAGTTGGCCGCTGTGGCTTTAGCCTGATTCAGCGTGACACCTGGTATGTTCTTATGTGTTTGTTCTGCAAACACTTCATAGCAGAGACATGATAAAAAAGATTTTTGAAGTTACAAATAGTGTGGAGGAAGTGGATAGACAAACATTTTTAATCCCACTCCCACCATG